TGATTCAATTAACAAAGGGAAATAAACCCTTTCACCCCGATGATAGTCGTGTTGAATACATAGCTGAACCGAAGGGGTTAATTTCAAATATTTCAAAAGGCCCTCAAATTTACACAAAATTCAGATGTTTTCAAGTAACCTCAAAGTCACTCCGATGATGGCCGTGTTGAATGCAGAGCTCAACCGGATGGGTTAATTTTAAATATTTCAAAATGCCCTCAAATTTACACAAAATTATGATGTTTTCAAGTGATCTCAAAGTCACCCTGATGATGGCTGTGTTGAATGCAGAGCTCAACCGGAGAGGTTATTTTCAAATATTTCAAAATGCCCTCAAATTTACACAAAATTCAGATGTTTTCAAGTGACATCACAGTCACCCCGATGATGGCCGTGTTGAACGTAGATCTCAACCGGATGAGTGATTTCAACATTCAAAGCTCCACCAAAATACCCACTAAATCCAAAATTTCCAAAAATCACCCAAATCCAGAGATTTTAAACTGAAATCCATCCATCAAATTATGGTTTAAAATTGTGCAATATGAGGCTCGCCTTGAGGCTCGCATTTGCGCAATTCCAGTAAAAAACGCCTCGATGCTTACGCTTTGAGTTTTTTTTATGAGGCTTGCGCCTCAACTTAGTTGAGGCCAGCCTTGGGGCCAGCCTCGCCACACTGGCATGAGGCTTACGCCTTAAGCTATATATATTAAAACTTACATAAATCTTGAAGTAAATGCCCGACATTGGACTCTGTAGGAGACGAGGAAGGGGAGAGAGCAGTTCATCATAACGATGATTCAAATGAAGAACCCCTTAGTGATGACAGTGCTGATGGCTTATGAGTTCTTATGTGATATGTCATTGCTATTTATTTTTGGAAGTTGGAATTATATGTTAATGAAAAGAATACTGTGATTTGGGAAAGATAAAATTTTGAGTTGAACTATATTTCATGTTGTCTAATTATTGGGATATTTTAATTTCACTTCATATCTTATTCTTTTTTATGTTTTATATTATTCACTCATTAATATATAAAAAATTTATCATTTTATGTTTACGCAATCTTTTGATTTTGAGGCTTACGCCTCAAAACGCCTTGAGACTTACGCCTCGCCTCACGAATGAAAAACGCCTCAATACCCGAATACGCAATTTTAAACATTGCATCAAATAACTTAAAGTAAAATCCATCCACCCTCCGCAATAGTTTGCAGGGGTGGAGAAATTAAAATTTATTTCAGCTCACATAGAGCTAATGCCTAGTCGAAAATATCACTATGATCCATTCTCAAACAATCTCCTGTCAATAAGGACGTAGTACGTGTCCTCTGACCGGTGGTTTTGCCGTCAAATGACACTGCAAGATAAACGGTTATGACCCGGGGCCCTCTGTACCGAGTGGTTTTGCCATCAAATGACACCACGAGTTAGCGGTTACGGCCAGAGTTAATACGTTCTTTAGTGGCATCAAATCTTTGAGATATGAATCAATAAGATATGATCGATAAGGCACAAAGCCCTCTTCTAGCTAAGATTGATTCAAATTTGTCCCCTTAGACAAATATTCACCACAGGTTTACAAGGTCCCCTTGGAAGAAGCAACCCATGGCTGCCGACAAGGATCTTCTGTTAGGTTGGGTCGACTAACTCCTCTGACTAAGTAGATTAGGGACTACGATGGCCCGAAACGACGGAACCATGGGATCTTGATCGGGTCCACATCCAATCCCCCACCATCCGCTCTAAGTGCAAGATAGTGAAATTTCTAATTTTAAATATCAACCTTCAAACTCCCAAATCCATGCTGCTACTATATGCTGGATATCGTGTATCTATAGGTACGACATATTCATCGACGACAAGCCTTAATCGAAAGTTCTCTCTCGTTATCGGGAGGGGTAATTAACTATAGGGGCTTGTGCCTATAGGAAACTAGAACTCAAATCATAAAGTCCTCGCAAAATGAGGGTGAAATCTCTGGGTAGTTTCTTATCTACAAATCAATCTGCCTTCCCAAAATTTACCCCGGAACTTACATTGCATTAAAACTCCCCCGAAAGAAAAAGCAAAGCGGTGGAAGCCGGGGCTGAATTTTCGGAACCCACATTTGCACTAAAAATACTTGCAACCAAATGACCCCTTAATGGCATTAAAAGCTTCATTAGCTAGGGATGAATTCATTCAAGCCAAGAAAATTGATAAACTACAGCATTATCATTGATGAGGAACTATTGCGGGTTGTATTGCTACTCCTGCAAGATGTTTATGCTGCTTACAAGAGTTCAGATAGTTTTTGTGGCTTTTGTGTATGTATTTTGTAGGCTAATTATGGGATGGTAGTTGAGCTGCTTAATTGACTATGCTGAAGTGCTACTTACTAGACAGTTGTTGCACTCGCAAGATGGATCAGATTTGTATGGTTTTATGTGACAGATTCGGTTGATCTAAGCTATGAAGAGCTATAATGTCAGTAAGGAATGGACTTCCCAAACAATGCAATCAGCAGCCGATAAAATAGGAAGGAAATTACAACATATGCAAAAAAACATCCAGTACCAATTGATCTAGCCATAATAGTAAACAAAGGATACCATAGCCGCAAGAAAAATAGGAGTGTTGGAATACGTATTATACTAAGAATCTTACAAGTACTGAATGGTAATTACTTGCAATAATAAATTAAATAATCAAGACACTAGAGTAACATATCTAGTTCTTATAAACAACAACATCATAAGCATGTCATATTCAAAATAAACTAGAAAATATAAAATAAGACAAATTGAATAATACCAAAACTCAAAATGTCATTGTGTCCATCCTAACAAACACATACTACGTTTCAGAATAGTTAAACTTTTAGATATTCATCGCCATCTCTTACCCATTTTGTCTATTGTACATCCAAACGTGCATACAAATTATGTGGTCATACAAGTAATAAAATGATGAGTATCAATCATCATCTCATAGACTGTGTCAACAAATTACTAAAAGTGGATTGATTTCATACTATTTGAACAATAGAAAGCATTTTGAAAAAAATAAAAATAAAAAAGAAGAAAGAAAAATAAATGAGGACTAAAACAAAAAATAAAGACTGCTTGGGGTTCTAAATCAGACTGACTAGATCTAAGGATTAAATTTCATTGATATTCATTATACTGGTTTAGTGGTGATACAATCAAGAGTTACCAATAACTTGTTGTGATCAAATCTAAAAGGGACCTACCTTTCTCTCAAAAGCCTAGGATTACTAACTTCTCCAAACAACATTCCTAGTTCTTAATGATAGATTCAATGTAGAAAAGTTTCATTTAAAGGCACAATTGTTCTATTGAATTACAAGATTTCAACATACCTATGTCAAGGGGTGCAACCCAAACCCATCTGCCTTCCAAAATTTATCTCGGAACTTATTCAGTTAAAACTCCCTCGCCAAAGAAAAATGAAGAGCGGGGAGGCAGGAGCCGAATTTTCGGAGCCCACAGCAAGTTGAGCTCGAACATGATTTTGAGCTCGACAACTTATCGAGCTCGATCTTGAATAGCTCTCCGCTCGGCTCGCAAGTTCGTCGAGTAGCTCACGATGGATGCTGGCCAGCAGGAAGAAGAAATCATGTACACGTGAAAATGAAACGCGAGGATCTTGCCGGCGAAAAAATGAAATCGCGACTGACACTGGCGACTGGATGCTGGGGACGACAACGACTGACGTTGGCGACAAACACTAGCGAAGATGACGATGACTGACGCTGTCGACGGATGTTGGCGAGTGGCAACGCCGGCGACGGATGACGCTGGTGACGGGCGGATGTGGATGAGCAACTCGATGAGCACTTTTTTTCCTTATCGAATCGAGCTCGAGCTCAGTATTTGACAGTCGAGCTTGACTCAAACATCCCTGACTTGAGCTCGTCTCAACTAGTTTGCACTCCTAGCTCATATGTCTATCTCACAAACCAAAATTTCCCCTATGCGCTTTATGATGACCTACAAAAAACGAGATTGGCACCTAAGCACTGAGTCTGGGTGCCTGGGCATCATGCTCTCAATTTTTGTGGCACAAAAATCTAGTTTTAGGAACTGGGTGCAAGGACTGGGTCTCAGGCTAAGTGCTAAGGCTCTCAAAGCCTCTAAATGTGTTAATTTTGCCAGGTTTTGCTCGGATGGATCTAAAATGCTTCCTTTGCTCAACACATACAAAAAATTCGTCAAAATAAATGCTATCCTACCTAACTTTAAATTAATTAATTAGTGTAGCGAATTTTTAAGTTAAAGAGCAATAAATGCAAAAAAAAGATTCTAATTAGCATAAATATAATAAAAATCACTTGTATCATTGATATCGCTTATTCCAAAATCTAACTTTGTAATTTCCTTGTCTACTAAACATTCACCCTCAGTGTTCTTAAGAGTTAAGACCTCAATTTCATTCTTTATACTAATATTCTCTTGCATCTTGATCTATCTTCCTCCCAACCACCAGTCTTTGCCTTATAAATTTACCCTCTCTTCTCCACATATTCTCTTTGTTAGCAATGCACCATTATAGGAACGAACCTTAATATCTGAGCTTCTCCTTCCCTCAAGCCCTCCCCAACAAACGCAAAACAGGCACCAACTACCCCACCACCATGAATTTTACCCAATTGACTAGAAGGCTAAACCAATGATTTAGTTGAATAAACTTGACGGTAAAATAGCCCAGCTCAGCGAACCGGCCTTTCCTTTGGGATGGACTTTAAAACAAACAAGCATGGTGAAAGTCCATTATTATTAACATAATATCACTCAAGTTCATCATAACCCCGTTATGTATCATCCGTTGCTATGTTATTCTACGTTCATTCAACAGTTGTATAAACTAAACAAAACTACCCCAATGAGTCGAGCAAGAAAATCCATTCCAATAACAAGTGAAACTCAATGCAAAACAGGTCACATTTCTCAATTATATGAAAATCAGAAAGATAAAAATAGCAAATAACTTACCAAGAATCGCCATCACTGTCCTTGAATCTGTAGGAAATGATATCAAATCAGATCTGATATGTTATTCTGATATGAAATCATTGAGGAAATGAAAATATAACAACTGGTACTTGCTAAAAAGAAACTACAACTTGTAAAGTGGCGCCAAGATGTCAACGCCGTGGTTGGTTAAGTGTGTGGGGGTGCGCAAGCAGGTCGGATGGAGTTATATTGCTTTGCCAAAACAAATGCAAAGCAAGGATACAGAAGATCAGAGAACAGTAGGAAAGAAACTTCTAGCAACTTACTCGGTGCAATTTGCGTCCTTCCGGCATCAACTGTTATATGGGTTGGTAGCTTCAAGGACTTTGCTCTTTCCTGATATGTTTTAAAAAAGTCATATAAGCAAAAATTTCTAAAGTAAAACACTAGCACTTTAATTTTTTTGACATTAATCAATTGGTCATTGAAAATGTTTGGGTGATCCGTATTCAGAAAGAGGAATCACTTCCGTATTTGGGAAAAATTGACATAAAGGTAAACAGCTACACTAGGATGTCTGGATACATCAGATTATAAGGGCATGCAATGTTTGGCAAGTGCCTCTCACAAATATGATCAGGACATGGCACCTGCGCATATAAACACAGAAAATGCGAGTAATATATTTCAAATAAAAATTTTTCTGATATTGGTGTCCAACATGGAGGAGACATAATTGCATTTCTTCAGCATTTTTGGGCCTTTTTTTTTTGTTGGGATGGGAGGAGAGTTTGATCATGGCTTTCTATGATAACAAATGTAAGTATCATTTACTTTACTACTAATTGGCAGATTTCTTTTCATTTTATTGATGAAATCAGACTTCTATTTGAAATTATTTTTAATATATTTAGAAGGATAATCTGATGCTCACACATTGATTACTTTATATATTAAAAATAAATTATTTCTAGTACTTTTCAAAATTAAATTACTAATCTAGGGAGATTTACATAAATGATGCCAAATTCTATTATATTAACATAATCGACACAAAAATATTTGTTAATTACTCCCATACCACCAAATGCTTTTAACTACATCAAAACTATCATATAGGAAAGTGATCACAAAACCCTAACAATCACCTTTCTTGCCTGCACCAAGTAAAATATCTCGGATACGCCACATCCCATCACCTTTTGCCTTTTGGCAAAGCTCATGTTATAGGTGGCGTTCCCATGAACCAGTCTGAGAAAAATTGTCACTCCTCATTTCTTGTAAAGTTCATGCTTCACTAAACTACAGACCAAGGAAAAATATCGCTCTCATCCTTGCCAGTTTTCCTCCAAGCAGGAGAAAAAGCTGAGTTACCACTCCCTCTACCTTCTTTCATGGGCACGACAATGTAATTTCTTCTCTAATCCTCATACTTCCCTTCCTTCACCATCTCCTCGAGAATCACCCATCATGCATCAACTCATTCACCGGTCTCTATAATCATTTAACTTGCAAGGCCCAAATATTTTTTTACCAATGTCGGATCTTCAGCATAGGAGGATCCATATATGATATTTATTGATTTAGAAAAAGTATGTGATAAAAGTTTCAAGAGAAGTGCTCAGGAGAGTTCTAGAAAAGAAAGAAGTTAATAATGCTTATATTTAAGTCATTAAGATATGTCATAGTTGTTACTTGTGTTCAAACACAAGGTGGATAACAAAGTTTTTTCCTATTTCATTTGGATTACATCAAAGATTAGCTTTAATCCCATATAGTTTTGCTCTAGTCATGGATGTTTCTACTAGACATTTGCAAGAGGAAGTACCATGGTGTATGCGTTTTGCTAATGACATTCTTCTTGTTGATAAAACTAGAGAGGGAGTTCAAGGTAAACTTAAGCTATGAAGGTCAACCTTAGAGTCTAAAGGTTTTCTTTTGAGTAGATCTAAAACCAAATATATGGAGCGTAATTTTAGTAGTAATAGATCTAATGGAGGCTATGAATTTCGGCGATCAAGTCATTAATTAAAGTATATATTTTAGATATCTCAAGTCTATTATTCAAAGTGATGTTGAAATAGATGAGGATATTATTAGTAGAATTCAAGTTGGATGGTTGAAGTGGAGGAATGCATCAGGCATATTGTGTGATAGAAAAATACCCTTCAAACTTAGGGGAAAATTCTATAAGATAGTGGTGAGACATGCAATGCTTTATGGCACAGAATGTTGGCCATTAAGAGAGAAGCATAAAATTAAGTTTGGAGTTGCAGAGATGAGGATGCTGATAGATGAGTGGCTTCACTCTTAAAAACAGAATGCAAAACGAGTATATACATGAAAAGGTTGAAGTAACTCCAATGGAAAATAAGAATAGAGAGTCGTCTTAGATGGTTTGGTCACATATAATGCCAGTCTTCCGATGACCCGGTTAGGAGAATAAATGTATTTGATTTGGCTAATGTTAAGAATAGCAGGGGTAGACCTAAAAAACCTTGGCTAAAAATTATTAAAAATGACCTTTCTTTATTATATTTAAATGAGAATTTGACTCTTAATTGACACAATGGAGAAAAAAGATTCATCTAGCTGACTCCACATAGTGGAATAAAAGTTTGTTGTTGTTGTCAGATCTTCAAATGCTTCTAGTAGCCAGTAATATATATGAGCATGTTTTTAATTTGGAAGAAAGGGAGGGTGGTAGAGGGTGTGGGATTGTGTTAATTAGACTTAAACAAATGTTTTACTAGGGTAACATATACTAACAAAGCAGCATATTGATGAAATTATTATTATTATTATTATTATATATTAAAAAGTTGCCATGCCTATATCCGAGTCTAATAGCATCCATGAATATGGAATTAATATGATGTTCTTCCAAAATAGGAATTTTCTGACAAGATTGTTGGTCTCCAACAATTCCGGAGCATTAATGTCAATCATCTATATCAACTGATTTTGCATAATTATTTGCAAGCATCGTCTATATCAACTGATATTACATAATTCTTTTCATAATGATGTCAAATAAAATTACTTAAATAGTTGCATGATATTATAACTTTACACCGGCCAAGTATATGAGATATCATAGTTAAACGCAATTGAATATAGTTCACTTTATATAGGTACCAACAGATATAAATAGGACACCATATGTGCATAAGAAGAATAGCATGCCAATTCAAATGTTATAAAAATCACCATACCTGTAAAACAAGCATATCTTCCTCACTTTCAGTTCTCAAAACTACCTTAACCTGTCCACACATTTCCCACCTGCAAATAAAACTACAAAGAATAAAACCAAAGAGCCACAAAAACAGCAATATTTAAACGTTCCAAATCTCAGAAAGAAAGTTCCAACAGAGAGAATTAGATAATTAAACAAAGAACAACGATGCAGATTAACGTTATACCTGCTTAACGCTCTGGGCGCTCTGCTATGGAGTTTTTTATACAAGCCCAAAGTTGCATGGCTTGCAAAATAACGGCACAGCAAAAACTAGCATTAGTGAGAAAACAAGTTCAGCACTAAACAGCATATTTAATAATGTTGACAGTCTGGTTATGCACGTAATTAAGAAAGAAAGGCAATAACGATGTTCACGTAACAACTGAGTGACCATAACAAATGAAACAACATCTGTTCATATTTCATCACTGAAATTTAATTCCATATGTAAAACAGCCTAAGAAAATTTAAAAAAAAAAAACAATAAATTCAAAAACCTCTCCATGGTATGCATGATTTCAACTAAAAAGCTAAATATTTCTATGCTGAACAATTACCGCTATCATTCTTAAGGCAAATTTTTTATTCGTACCAATTCATGGAAAAGTGTATACTTCATGAATCCCACTTCATTCTCCAAACCATGAATCCTAAGGAAGCCCACTTTACACTTGAAATTGTGAATCCTTACATAATAGAAAGAGGGAGAGAGAAAGAGATAGACTATAATCCAAATCTTTCACTCTCAAGTATAAATTATTAATGGCTATTATGGCTAAACAACTGGTATACAATTTGAATAACTTTTATGATCATTTAATTATCAATCAAATAGATCCTTTTTTTTTAATGAATGCTCCAATTGCATAAGAAGATAATTGTGACATATAATTGTAGAGACTTCCAAATGGCTTGGAATCAAATAGATTATTAATAAGCATCTTTCATGTACTAGACAATTTGATTGATAAAATACATTGGTAAAATTAGACGATCAAAGGACAAATAAATATAAAGCCCAATCATACTTGTAATTTTCATATGCCTGATGAATAGTTAAATCAACATAAAATGATGAAACTCCATCCACATGTAATTCTTATACTTTAAATAACAATCATCTGTGTGAGATTTTGAATATAAAGATGATATAAAAATAGGTAAATTAAAATAAATTTAGGAAAGAATAGTCATTCTCCTCCTAGGAAGAGAAGAGTCCATTAAGATTGCATTGTTGATTGTGATATGCCGTAGAAGAATTGCATGTGTATCTAGAGTCATCAACTTTTATGATGATTAATCATTTATCAAACAAGTGAAAAGTATAACGATGATTGGATGACAAAGAGAAATCATTTTAAAAGTCAAATTTTAACCATGAATTTCACCAATCAAAATCATCTAACACATGGAAGGTATCATTAAGTAATGCATTTAATTACAACCCATTAGAAGGTCTATACACTTTGCAACCACGACAATCTTATTATGCACTCAAAGTCATGCAAGGTCTACTTGGGGCAGCTTTTCTATAGCATTGATTTTCAAATTAATATCACACATCTATTTGGTTACTGTTTTAATGTTGCTTTTCAAAAATTTATATGATGAGAAACTATTTTTACAACTTGATATGTTAGAGTGTGGTAGCTATAAAAAAAGTTATTTTTTATTTTTTTTAAATATATTTTTAATACTCCAACAATACTAAAAAAATATTTTTCCCATAACAACCCTACAAACAGATGCAGTTACCAAACAAACCCTTAAAGTGAAAACTTTGATGCATCAAAATGATAATCAAATATTCTTAAAACTTCTTCAAATCATACGGGCCATAATGGGTAGTTTTTATCTTACAATTGAAGGTAAATATCAAAATCTAATTGAGTAGTGAATGGTGATTCAAAGAAAGAAGGATATTGCTCCACCTAGGAGAAGAATGACTATTCTCCTCCTAATTTTATTTTGGCACATGTTGCTTTGTATAACATTCAAACTCAACATCACAAAATTGATTATGATTTACAGCAAAAAAATTATATATGGATCAAGTTTCATCAACTTTCATGATGATTTAAACACTTATCTTTTATGTGAACAATCTAAGGATGATTCAAAGACCTATAAAAGCCATTTTAAAGTCTAGTTTTACCAAATTTCACAAATCAAAACCTTCCATACATGCAAGATATCATTAAGGATTCCAAGCAATTTCAATATCTTTGCATTTTTAAACTGCATCTTATGCTATTGAAACCATCCATTATGAAATTTTTGATTAGTATGACAAATGATCAAAGAATCATAAAAATCTCTGAAATCATGCATGCCACTAGTTTTAATAATGTTGAAGATAATGGATGGTTTAATCTTATATTTGAACTTTATAAGATAAAAATATAATTGGGTAGACAGTAGTATCCCTCCTAGAACGACAAAAGTTCAAACAGATATTTTTCATATGCATATGAAAAGCTTCAATTAAAACTTTTATTCATCACTAAGGCTTAGTTGGACAATTTTTCAACAAGTTTACTTTTTAAAACCTGATGTCAAAATTTTAATTTCTGCAGTAAATATGGACTGAAAGTTATACTTCATGTCCCCCTCCATGGCTTTACGACCATGGACATTGATTGCAAGGCAGCTTGTCCATCTCTATGAGATTAGTTCATCACTAAGAACTATTAGTACTCTACTACCTCTGCACATCTTCCATGATTTTACCAGCATTTTTTTTTACATGATTTTACCAGCATTTTTTTTTTACATGATTTTACCAGCATAACTAACACACCCATAAACTAAATTTCTTGTTCATCAGAGTGACTAGCAATGACTTTATTTAGCACCAAACAACATAACACAACACAATAATAGCACAGAATTAGCATTACCAAATGAAATCCAAGTAATAAAGCAATTTAAACAAAAAAGAAAGGAATTTCAAGAATTAATGACAAGGGAGGGTAACAGAAGTATTGACAGCGATAGAAATAAATGATTGTATTTCTAAGAGGAACAGAAGCATTGGCAGTGAGAAAGATGGATAAAATCAAAGATTCAAATCTGAGCCAACATAGTAAATAATAAATATATAACTCGCAATCAAGTTCTAATTCAGAAAATGTGAATCAAGGCAGGTTCTCAAGTTACAAGTAACACGTCAACCATTCAGCATTAGGTTGAATAAGACAGCACAAAACTCAAGTTTGGTCGAGTTGAAACTTGAAACCAGATCTTTATGCAAAGATTAGCTAAACGTTAAATTTCAAGAGCTCTTAACCCTAGAGGCTACTTGCTTGGAAAAAAATTGACTCAAAATATCCTAACCAATTTTTTGGTCAAGATATATCTCAAAGCCATTAGGTTTGCTTTGAGATGAGTGCAATGCATGGGGAATTTATATTTCAATCCTCTCAAAGAAAATATACTGGCTTGGAGGCCAATCCTGATCAAAATTTTACTAAAATATCATAACCAAAAACTTTCCCTACTAGAGTTTGAGTCTAGTATATGAAAAAATGGAATGTTTCAAGAATTAAAATGCATCAACTTCTAAAGTTGTACTCCAGAAAATAAGAAGGAAAACTAATCAATAACTGCATAACAAAATGCTCACAAGAATCATGAAAATTGTGTTGAAAGAATTAAAGGAATATTCCTAGCTAAGAATGTCCCCAGATAGAAACACAATAAAGAATAGATTAAATAATATCAAGAACAACAAGCCTTGAAATGAGAGGCTGGTCATTGTAGCTCCAAAAAAATATCAAACAACTCTGTCCTGATATTTGGTTGGCTCCCAAGTTACTTGTTCCTCGGCCCAACCCTTAAAAGTGAAGCACGAATCCTCAAAGGTTTTCAGATTTCTCCTTATGCATAATGTTTAATGCAAATGCCATGCTTTAAACATGACATGAAATTATGTGTCAAAATAGAGTGAGAAAGTCCCATAGGAGGCCAGTTAATATAGTATATTTTTTCTTGTATTAATTATCTGAATCCAAACCTATCCATAGGTGGGGAAGGAAAGGTCAGGTGGCCCAAACTGGTGCCTTGAATGGGTGAAATAGGCACACAATTGGCCCTTAGTAGGGTGGTTTGCATGGCTCATAGCCATTGCCCATGGGCATATTGATGTTCAGTGCCAAGAATAAAAGGCTGCCCATAAAGCCACTTCAATCACATCCTCCCAAAAAGCATCAAAACATGATTTCATGGAAAGCGGCACCTCAAGCAACGCTGCTCAAACCTTAGCCACCTCCTAGAAAGCATCAAAGCAGTATTCCATGGAAATGGGCACTTCGAGCATCCTCCTTTCCCCTTTTAACTGGTCTTTTAAAGCTCTGTTGCATTTTGCTCATCCATCTCTCCCAATATCATAAACAAACTTAAAAACTAATCAAATTATTTTGTGTCATGAGTTTTTTCACAATTATAAACAAAATCAGTCACATTGACTCCTTAATCATTTAGTTGAGTTATTGATATCTATAAGCATACTCCTAGAACTCAATCACATAATTGCTACCATGGTTTAGTAATGTTCCAAAAAAAAATTTTTGTAAATAATGGTGACTCAAATTGCGTAGATGATTGAATAGAAAACCTCCTAAGGAAATTTGAATCATAATTGAGGAATCAAGCCTTAATCATGAATAGAAAGATCAAGAATTCTAACCAAATAGTTATCACTAGGTGAGATCCATGAGATCCATCTACATATTAAGAAGAGCACAACCATCAACATTTCTTTGTACAGAGATGCATTCATAATACCACAACTGAAAGATCAATTACAATAAATATGAATGCCAATTAGTAAATAAAGTCATGTATATACTAATTAAGAATGTTTATGAAATTAGTTGATTCCAATAAGAGCATCAAGATTAATAGGTATCAATCTAGTATCCATATCCTTCTAATTATATCGTTATTGTTATTTCCTCAAAGAATTATCTTGAAATGGTTCATGATACAATGAATATCAAGCTAAAATAATAATAACATCAAAGGAAACATAAACCATGAAATGTGTTATTTGCTTTCCATCCAAAAACCTTTATTCAACATCTGGTAGGGTCTTGTATCATTTTCTTCCCACTTCCTCAGCTGGCAATATTCTGATCTTTGAGCCTCTCTGCTCAAATCCAACCTCAGAACCGTCATTTACCAGCTAGGAACTTTCTTTAGCTCCTTCAGAAAGTAAAAAATATTCCTTAATTAACCTGGATAGGTGGTCATTTTATGCAATATTACTTTAGTAAATACCCCTTCCAAGAATACTCTATTTTATAAAATGGACAGCATTTTTTATTGGAGAAAGTAATTGAAATAGTTTAGCTTGAAAATATTGTTACCAGCAGATCATTGTTTGCATTGCAAAACACCAAAACATACAATCAAGCATTGAAGCTTATGGGTGCTCGGGAACAGAAGCTCATGTTATTACTGGATTATAACTTTAGGCTCGTATTCCAAGTTAGTCCACCATATTTGTTTTGTTGCATGAAACATACACTTTGCCCGTCTAAGAATACATAAAAAGCCCAATCCCCTATTACCAATCAAGCAAACGCAAATTGCCCAGCATATAATACATTAAGCATTTCCCAAATTTGCTCCTATAGAAAACCAATTCAAAGCATAGTTTGCATTGAGAGCGTTTAGATTTAAATCTACCTGCACTGAGCAGCAATCTTCCCTTTTCCCATCTTCAAGTCATTTCTGACAACGAGTACCTGAAACGAGTTCTTATCCTTTTCAGTCAGGACCTGATGATAAACCAAATCTAACTAAAATATCTGCTTAGCTTAAGATATGCAACTAAGTCGACATATCAAGGGAAGAGGTGGTGAAAATATCAACTGATAAGTGAAACTGGCAGAAGGAAAAGGGACCAAACCAAATAATGAAACTGAAAATTGCATATGGATTCTACCATTTTGAAGTCTTCGAGAATTTCCGCGAGGCTTTCGATCTCAAAAAGAGTGGGCTTGGTATTCTTTCTTTTCCGATCCACTACCGTCATGGCGTCTTTGTTCTTATCACTAGCCTTTCCCCGGACCACATCTTGGACCAAGTAGAGAAGCCACCGAGCCCCTTTAATACTACTATTCTTCTGATTTTCCTTATCGTCATCATCATCGGCGTGATTGAGGGTGCGGAAGGAGCGGGCGGAAAGAACGTAGCCAGCTGCGAAGCACACGGCGCCGACAAAGGAAGCGGTGCCTGCGGTCAGCAGAGAGACAGAACCCCCCATGGCCGGCGAGTCGCCACCACCGACGCAGAGCCCGGATAGAACTTATCGACTACTGCTCCGAGGGATCGTGGCCTCGCTTTCTGGAATATTTTGCGATTGGCCGAGAGCCAAATGGCTTCCTCAAGCTCGAATTTTTTTTTATTTATTTATTTATGACTGTTGAGCCGATTAAGATTAACTCACTCAGATCATATACTCAAATTTTAAAAACAAATCTCTTAATTAAATGAAAATGAAATAAAAAATATATAGAGTCTAACTCATTTTAAATAATTTTTTTAACGTGCCTTATATTATTAGAAATGATAGTATTTCTTATAATTAGATAAGGAATTCATATAATATAATAGACATGAATCATGAAATACTTACTGAGATGTTGGCATTACCATCAAGATAAGCTCAATGATATGTTTAATCTTTCTTTATATACGAGAGGAGATTCGTGATCAGTGTGATAAATATTAGAGGAGATTCTTAATTAGTAGGATAAATATCAGCCTCAATGGACATAATTGACTTCTACATTGGTGGTGGTGGCACCCATTAGCTAAGTGGTGTTGAGTTGGTTTTGTCTGTGATGGGTGGAGCATCGGTGCTATTAGTGATGATGGGCGTCGATGTCATTGATGATAGCAGATGATGTTAGCGTTATTTGGTGAGAGTGCATCGACTTTAGTGTTGAATACACACAAATCTTGTTGGCAGAGATAAGTGTTGACGTTATTGATGATGACCAACATTGATCATAATGATGGTCATGACGTCGACCTTTCTAGCAACAACAAATGCCAAACTTGCAGTGATGAGAATTGTTGGTGTTGTTGGTGACGATGAGCATTGGCATCATAGGGTACAATGGTCATTGGTGTTGGCGTCTATGGGAGATATCAATCTTATTAGTGACAATAGACGTTGGTGTTATTGATGAAGGACAAGTCTTGGTTCATGTGGCGAAGACGGATGTTAGCCTCCATGATGAAGTTTGGCTTTAGCATATTTTTACAACGACAGGCTTCATACATGGTGGAGATGGCAGAAATCCACTTTAGATGTGCTTGCGGACCTCAAACTTAGTAGTAGTAGAGGCTATCAATAGTATTGATGATGAAGGGAATTAGCCCCCAAAGTTTTATAATATCTTCTTTGGAATCCTTTTTGGGGTTCCATCTAGCTTCCTAAAATGAGCGGAAGTGTATTTTATCAATTGATTTTTTGTGGAATGGCATTATGATCATTTCAACTAGAAATTAAATTGCTCTATCAAATAGTTCGTAATATCTTTTTATCATAAAATAATTTTAGGCATCCTATTATTTTAATGATATTCTATTTAAGTAATGTTGAACTCTTTCTTTTCATTTCATTAAGACACTCATTTCGATACTCATATAATATATCATGGATATAAATGCCTTTTATACATAGCAGTTGATTCTCTTTTGCTATTAATACTATTTTCACATATGATTTAAAGAAACCTAAGATGATTGACCATCAATTAAGTGCATCAAATATTTTGAATGCTTTTGATTGCATTAGAAGAGACATATAATTTTAACTTTGTAAAATATTTGTAATGGCTTTTGCATTAAATATTCATAAGATGTTGATAACAGTTAGAGAGTAAATAAAACTAAAATATTAGATTTATGCTATATTTTCTTTTGTTTTCCATATGATTTAAGAAATATAAATTTATTATAAAAATGAATGAAATTTTATTTATATGTACTTACAGTGAAGTAAAGATCATTAGTATGATCTTGAATTTGAATATTGTATAAGATGGTAGATGCTATACAAGAGTGAATCATGGTTTTATAACACATACACATCCCTTATGTGTGTGAAAATACTAAAATAGCCACTCTCTCTCTCTCTCTCTCTAAACAGCTTCTCTCTCTCTCTGTCTCTAAACAGCTTCAGTGCTTCACATTAAGAGGTTGCATGTTCTCAATTTCGCAAACCTATGAATAGAGTTTTAATAAATCTAAATACATTTATAAGGTGCAATTTATTTTGACGTACTTTTAATTTGAAGTTGTAGGCTAGTATATTCGCGGCGGTAAAGTGAGAGAAGTTTTCGTCTTGATAATGCATAGATAAATTGAGAGAGCAAAGAAACATCCAAAAAATTTTATGTGGAAAATCTAAAGAGCAAAAAACCACGAGGCCTTGCCTTGCCCAAGTGAAAATATTCCAATATAGTTGCGTAGGTGCTCATCTCTTAGCTTGGAGACGGTAAAATTACAATAATTTAGGTAATTGGTTAAACTTTGTATGGTTACCTGGGAGTTTGTGCCGTGGTTAGAGGATAGAGATCGGAAATCTAGTGGCAACGGCTGGGAGACGGTCCAACAGAGATTGGTAGCCTAGCAGAGGTCTGGTGACGGTCAATGGTCGGGCGGAGATCCGACGATGGTCGGGCGATAGTCGATGGTCCAATGAAAATTCGGTGGCGGTTGGTGGTCCGGTAATAGGGTGAAGGTCCAATGAAGGTTTGTGGCCCAGCAGCTACCAGCGACTTGGTGGAGGTGTCGGTCAGTAGTTGGCAGGTGGTCCAACGGCGGTCGGCGACCTGGCATTGCTTTGACGTTGGATAGGCATAAGTCTGGTGGAGTTTGAAGGAGTGGCGGTGGTCCAACAGCGGTCGGCAAAAGGGCAGTGGTCCAATAATGGTCGGGCGGAAGTTCGGTGGAGATCTTTGGACGGACGATGGTCTTACGACTGTCTGGTGGGAAGTCTGACGGCTAAGCAAAGCTTCACCTGCTGTGGTGCTTGGGTAGAACTTTAGGAACCTTAAAGCCTCAGAACTTTCAACAATCTCGAGCTTAAGATTCCCTTCATGAAGCGAGCATGACTTTATTTATAATTTTTGTGAGTGTCATACCCCCATAAATATAAGGGAGATCAAGAGTGAATTCGGAGCGCTCCATCGGACGGCTCATATTGATTCCCCCAATCATAGATCATTTACTTGATATTTAAGTACCTTATCAGAATTAAGAAATCCAGGGCTCATTGGATTCGCCTAGTCGAGACATTAAATTCGACTATAAGCAAGTCATACTTGAATATCATTTTGTTATCCAATTAATACTTTTGATATATATATATATATCATTCTAATTGGATTCACCTTTCAAGGAGAAATTATTCTATGCAGAGTTCGAATAGGAAGATTCGTCTCGACTGTGAGCGTACACACTCTGTACATATATTGTGTACCAATAGTTGATACACTCACATATCCGAATTTTCCTGGTTCACGACGGCTATTTATTGTAGTGCCAAATAATAATTTTAGGCATTTTTTCCCTTTCGTCTTCCTCAAACCTTTTACCTGTGCACTTCAGCTTTCACGCATGCAGCACGCTGGCAACTCCTCGTCCTCAAGCACTCGAAATTTCAAACATTCACACCTCTCTCTCTCTCTCTCTCTCTCTCTCTCTCTCTCTCTCTCTCTCTCACCCCGTTTTAAGGATAGATCCGCCCATTTTCTGTCTTCATCTTCCTTTCCTTCTTAAGGTTCAGTTGCTGTTACCGTCAAACCAAGGTTTTGCATCGTATCAGGACTTAGGAAGTTCTTATCAACATGATATCTACTCTTTTTAATGACCATTGTTATTTACCTTTCAAAGAAGAAATTTTGAAAAAAATAAGGGAAATTTACATACATACCACTTTAAAACATTCTATTTACATATCTAACACCCAAAACTTTAATATTACATAAATACCACCCTATATTATTTTAATATCAAATATACCACCCATATTTTTTTCCTACCACTCATATATTTCATTTCTACCACTCATATTTCATATAAAAATGAACTATGGGTGGCATGTATGTAATATTAAAGTTTTAGATGTTAAATATGCAAATAGAATAGTATAAAGTGGTATGTATGTAAAAAAAGGGGAACAACTCCTTAGTTAAGAAAATGAATTATTAATTGAATTAATTTTGTATGTTATTATTAAATTATCAGTGGAAAAACATCATTATCTAATTATATTAGAAAAGAAAAATTAGCTCATAGAATGAGAACAAAGTTAGATCTTAATGAATAACTTAAGAAATTAGTTTAGAAAGTATGCTTTCACTCAAAGGACCACTTGAACTTTTTATATCAAACATGTTTGATTTTTTTGTGTTATAAAAACAGCTTTTTTTATATAATTTTTGTAAGATTTCAGGATTTAAATTAAACAATTTCCACTTTCTAATATCTGAAAATTTTTTAAATCAATTTACCCAATGTTTCAATAATTTAGAGTTGTCTACATTTATCATAAGACTGGTTTATCATGTCTTCTGCATGAAAAAAAATCTAAGTTTGCCCCTGAGTTCTAAGATAAATTATTATATGCAATCACCGTAAGCCATCTGGAAACGAATCAGGGCGCGCCACATTACCATTTTACTTTGTACCGGTGCTTTATACCGGAAGACATGACGCATCCTGATTCGCTCAAAATGATCCAGTGACCGAACGTAATAATTTCTCGAGTTCTAATTGCTGTTTTAATACATCCACATGGAAACTTCCTTGCTTTATAGCACTTCTGCTAATTGCTGCCATAAAAGCAGAAGCAGATCTGAGAATTTTGAATTGTCAGCCTTGTATTGGTTGTAGCAGAGTTTTGAGTGAGCTTAAAAACAACCACCAAGTTCTGACTTAGCTAGTAATTTTCTTCTTCATCGTTTCACCATTATCTATCATTCAATCCTGTATTAACCATCTGTAAACATTTTGGTGTTATTGCCATTGGGAAAGCCAATTCTTAGATTATTTCATTTCTTTTGTCTTCTAATATTTTGCATGATAACAAACATTTGAACAATAATTATATTACAATTGTTCGTAAAGAAAAAAAAAAAGTTCTTTCGTTCATATATTCTGGAGCAAAAGCCAACAACCAGGGCTCTCTTACCCTGGAGTAAATAACATATTAGACAGAATTTACATACACGAAAGAAAAAAAAAGAAGCCACACCGGAGCTATTTACTGGACGCATCAATAAACATGGCTCGCGTCCAGTGTTCAATGTCTTCAGCTTGAGATGGTGGAGGAAGTATAGGGTGTTCAATCAGATCCCATCCATCCACCATGGTTTCTGATGCTCTGGCCTCAGTTGTGTCAGCATAAAGAAAACTAGCTGCAGAGTTTGAGAGATTATGTCGAGCGCTTCTCTGAATAGCAAGTTGAATTACGATTATGAATTGGAATAGGTTTATGGAGAGCTTTAGAAGTCAAGAGAAGCTATGATTGGGATCTTACCGTTATGATCATACTGTGTTCACTCTCAAGCAAACTGCTTGTAGATGGAGTAGAATTTGCGTTCCAGATTGATTTGTTCAGTGGCTTTGCTTGATTATCAGACCTGCAAAATTATCTCAATTCAAATCTCAGTTCAGTTTTTATGTTCTTTTGGGGGATTTAATTATTATGTATTTACATATCTAAAATCTAAAATTTTAAATTTTAGGTGTTAGATATGTAAAAATATAAAAATTGTATAAATTTATCTTTTTTTTTAAAAATTTTTGTGAGGTTGGAGGTTGAGCGAGTGTGTAAAAAAACCTCTAATAGGATGGCAACAAGCTCGAGCAGTCTTCTTTCCAAAAATAAAATCAAAAGATTTAGCCTCTGTATAAGGAGAGATTACTCTATGCGGTGTCTGAACTTGTCCGGAGGTCAATCCGAATGCGCCACATCATTCAATGCACTGTGTATTGAGTGATATGTCGGGTCTGGATTCGACTTTGGACGTGTCCGGACACCGCACGTAATAATTTTTCCTGTACAAGAGGCAAGCAACAAGGTGAATAAAGGCTAGATGAAATGCTTACTTTGGCTTTGCCATCTTCAAGGAAATCACTGCACTCATTTCTTTAGAAGAAGACAACGTGGCCAATACTTTGGCAAAGGCTTCAAAAGTAGACGCATCGGGAGATATATCCAAGCAATATATATTATTGCAATAAGCTGTAATGCATGCCACACTTTTCTTGAGTAGTGAAATCCCTTTCTGCAAATCCTTTTGGGTCTCTAGAGAACATGCAGAAGCAGTGGAATAATTAAGGCTAGTGCTTGGAGCAGAATCCAAAGAGGATTTCTTCTCTGATTCTACTGAAGAAACACCAAAGTTACTTGAGCTTCTTTCCGACCACGAGGCCTCACCAGTTGAAGAACAGAAATTTTGCCGGGGGATGAAAAGAGGGTATTCCTTGCTGCGCAGAAAGCCATAAATTTGTCAACGATTAGAAACGCATCAATAAACATGGCTCGCGTCCAGTGTTCAATGTCTTCAGCTTGAGATGGTGGAGGAAGTATAGGGTGTTCAATCAGATCCCATCCATCCACCATGGTTTCTGATGCTCTGGCCTCAGTTGTGTCAGCATAAAGAAAACTAGCTGCAGAGTTCGAGAGATTATTTCGAGCGCTTCTCTGAATAGCAAGTTGAATTACGATTATGAATTGGAATAGGTTTATGGAGAGCTTTAGAAGTCAAGAGAAGCTATGATTGGGATCTTACCGTTATGATCATACTGTGTTCACTCTCAAGCAAACTGCTTGTAGATGGAGTAGAATTTGCGTTCCAGATTGATTTGTTCAGTGGCTTTGCTTGATTATCAGACCTGCAAAATTATCTCAATTCAAATCTCAGTTCAGTTTTTATGTTCTTTTGGGGGATTTAATTATTATGTATTTACGTATCTAAAATCTAAAATTTTAAATTTTAGGTGTTAGATATGTAAAAATATAAAAATTGTATAAATTTATCTTTTTTTTTAAAAATTTTTGTGAGGTTGGAGGTTGAGGGAGTGTGTAAAAAAACATCTAATAGGATGGCAACAAGCTCGAGCAGTCTTCTTTCCAAAAATAAAATCAAAAGATTTAGCCTCTGTATAAGGAGAGATTACTCTATGCGGTGTCTGAACTTGTCCGGAGGTCAATCCGAATGCGCCACATCATTCAATGCACTGTGTATTGAGTGATATGTCGGGTCTGGATTCGACTTTGGACGTGTCCGGACACCGCACGTAATAATTTTTCTTGTACAAGAGGCAAGCAACAAGGTGAATAAAGGCTAGATGAAATGCTTACTTTGGCTTTGCCATCTTCAAGGAAATCACTGCACTCATTTCTTTAGAAGAAGACAACGTGGCCAATACTTTGGCAAAGGCTTCAAAAGTAGACGCATCTGGAGATATATCCAAGCAATATATATTATTGCAATAAGCTGTAATGCATGCCACACTTTTCTTGAGTAGTGAAATCCCTTTCTGCAAATCCTTTTGGGTCTCTAGAGAACATGCAGAAGCAGTGGAATAATTAAGGCTAGTGCTTGGAGCAGAATCCAAAGAGGATTTCTTCTCTGATTCTACTGAAGAAACACCAAAGTTACTTGAGCTTCTTTCCGACCACGAGGCCTCACCAGTTGAAGAACAGAAATTTTGCCGGGGGATGAAAAGAGGGTATTCCTTGCTGCGCAGAAAGCCATAAATTTGTCAACGATTAGAAGATTTTTTTATGCTTGTTGTGCGTAGCAAATAAAATTGCAACCACTCAACCTTTGAGAGGAAGGCCGTGCTTCCCAGTAAGAATCTCGTTGCCATGTACGTGAACATGAACCCTGATTCAAAATTTCATATTAGAATTCGGATTATAAGAGCATAATTGCCAGATCGATATAATCTGACATAAAAATAATCATAATTGAATACTCGAGAAGTAGCTGCATGACCATAATGATAAATTTGGAAATTGCAGCGTGCGATTTAGCCTTCATTTGGAAAAGTTTTTTTGCTGCTTCTTAAAGCAGCTTTTTAATAAATAAAAAAAAATATAATAAAAAGCTATTTTAAGAAACAATAAGAAAGCCATCCCAAAAGAAGCCTAAATGAATGCCGGATAAGTGCAACTATTCTAATAGAACAGAACAAAGACAAACAGTCGAGTTTAGAAATATTTATGATCCGATTCTTATTAAGGCTCACAAAAAAATTAATATTGATGATGCAACTTTAAAGGAAGTTCTATAATAGGGTGACCTTCATAGCACCAAATATTGACAAGCATAGTTTTTGTTAAAATCAATTTTTGTCAAAATTAATCAGAAGCTATTTACATGCAAACTATAAATTGTAGTCCAATATATTGTCTCTTTCGTATCTTGTTTTCAAACAATAGTAGCTAGGTCAAAACGCCCTATTATATTTGGCAATATTCATTTCTTCAGCTTTCAATTTTTCTGTACCTGTCAGTGTGTACCTATCTAGACTTTAGTTACTTATTGTCAATGTTTGATTTATTAAAAAAAGTGTCTGTATTAACCGATACTTACTAAGAGCTGTAGAAAGCTTTTCCTGCTTTTTATGGGAAATTAAAAATGATGAAAGTAAAAATGTTAAAGCAAAGGAAGTTCTCTAAAATTGTATGAAAGGTGAAAAAAAAAAAACAGGGAGATCCATGTTACGGACTGTATCGAAGAAAATACAATATGGCAATTAAAAAATGTATGTAATAATTACCAGAAAAACGTGTGTAATTTAATGCAAGAAAGTTACCAAGTCAATGTAAAAGCTGTTGGGTAAAGAAAAGGGGTGCCGGATGAAAACAGAATAAGAAAGCTGCCAATGTAAAGCAGAAGCCTGCTGAGTGAATAAAAATAGCTAATGAGTCTTCGAAGTAGGAACAAAAGTTATGAACTACAAGAAGGGAACATTTGGATTAGCTTTTCACAACTGTTATTCAGACTGTTGCAGTACTTAGATTTTGGTAAATGGGGGAGTTGGTCGAGCAGCAATGAGAAATCAAAACAGAGCTTTGATGCCAAATATTATAATGAATGGGGTGATGGGATTGGAGATCATAGTGAGCTTTTTTTAATATTTGATTTGCTAAGAAGATACGAATATGATATGTGAAAAAATTATTTAGGGGAAATTGAATTTGAATTTTATTCCTTGGAATTATTACATATATATGCTTTCAAGGAGAATAAATAGAAAAAAAAAGACATTTAATCTAATTAATTATAATAAACAGAAGAGGAAAGTCATTTAACCTAATTGATTCTAATTATTATATCTCACGAATCTTGAAATCAATCCCATGTATTTTGGTGTTAGAAAATGAAATCTCCAACTGCAACCCAAGGATTGCTGACCTGTCAAAGCCGTGGGCCCCCACCTTGCCGTGTGATTCAACACCCCCTCAAGTTGGGTTTGTACAGGTTGTACAATCCTAACTTGCAAACAAATTTATCAAGTAGAGAGCCCGGTAGTGCCTTTAGTAGAACATCAAGTTGTTCATGAGTTTAGGTATATACTATTTCAATTTTTGAGTTCTTTATTTTCTCATATATAAAGTATCTATCAATAGTAACATGTATTGTTATGTCCTGATGTACTGGATCCTTTGTCATATTGATTGTGGCTTGATTGTCACATTTCAGCTTTATCGTGCCTTCAATCTTTATTCCCATTTACTCAATACTTGTCTGATCCAAATACCTTCACAAATAGTAACTGCTAATGCTCTCAGTTCAAATTCCGCACTGCTTCTGGAAACAACAGATTATTTCTTGCTCCTCCATATCATCAGGTTCCCCCACACAAATGAACAATATCATGTGGTCGACCAACTGTCAACCTGACTTCCTACCCAACTGCATTAGAATAAAGGATCAGTTTCCTATTTTCATTTTTCTTGAATAATAGCCCCTTTTCAGGAGTGTTCTTGAGATATCTCAAGATTTGATATACTGCCTCAATGTGCTCCTTCATAGGATTACTGATATATTGGCTCACCATTCTCACAACAAACCCAATATCTGGACGGATGTGGCAGAGTTATATAAGCTTTCCTACTAGATGTTAATATCTTCCTTTATCTTCTGGAACTTCCTCCTTTTCTATCCCAACTTTTTTCTTAGGATCCATAGGTGTACTGGCCGATCCGCATCCTAGCAAGCTGGTCTCCTTCAGTAGGTTTAAGGTATACTTGCATTGGGAAACAAATATACCTTTGGTTGATCGTCCTACCTCCATACCAAGGAAGTATCTAAGTGATCTTAAATCTTTAACTTCAAACTCCTAGAACAGAGTCTGTTTGATTTTCATTATTTCCTCTATATGATTTGCAATAAGGATGATGTCATGCACATATACAATCAGTATTGCTACCTTGTTTCTTTTTTACTGCTTCACAAATAAGGTATGATCTATCTGGCATTGTCTAAAACCACGGCCTTTTACATACTTTGAGAATCTTTCAAATCATGCTCTGTGAGACTGCTTTAATCCATACAAGGATTTCAACAGTTTACACACTTTGTCCATTCCATTAAACTTCTGAATCTCCATTGGAATCTCCATGTAATCTTCTTCTTTCAGGTTCCCATTCAAGAATGCATTCTTGATATCTAGTTGATGTAGGGGCCAATCTAAATTTGCTACTAAGGAAAGAAAAATCCTGATGATTTTGAGTCTTGTAACAGGAGAAAAAGTTTCTTGATAGTCTGTTCCATAAGACTGAGTGAATTCTCTTACAACTAGTCTAACTTTCAGCCTCCAACACTACCATCCTCCTTATGTTTTACGGTGAACACCCATTTGCAGGTCACAACTTTCTTTTCTAGTGAGATATTCACAATTACCCATGTTTGATTTTTTCTCCAATGCCATAATTTCTTCTTTAACAGCCTATCTCCATTCTGGGTGATTTAAAGCTTCCTGAATATTAGTCGGAATCTGCACATCATGCAACTTGGAAAGGAAGACTTGATAAGTATCTGATAATCTGCTACAAGAGAGAACTTTTTTTTATTGGATGCTTGGTGCATTATTCTTTATGGTCATTTGGCGACTCTATCTCGTTTTGAACTTCCTTATTCTTCTCCTTTGTACAAATCTCTACAGTTGCTCAATCCATTGAAGGAGATTTGGCAACTGCAAGACGTGTCTAATTGCTTTGCATTTGTTGATTTTTTTTTCTTTTCCTTGAGTATACATATTGTTGTTCCTTAATTGCTTCTCTTTGCAGAGATTGATTAGAACTTATGGGTGGAGGTAATAGATCAGAAAGTGGAGGTTGAGACATAGGATATATACCTTGCAAAATACTTGTGGTTTGGATTTTTTATGATATTTGTTGATTTTGATTGGACTCTGTTTAGTTGTATAATAAGAAATTCCACTCCTAAGTTTGAAATTCTCCTTCACTCTCCCCCTGAATTGTAGAACTAGTGAAGTGTTGGTTGTTTTAAAAAAAGATGACATCCAAGATTTCAAATAACTTCCTAGAATTAGAGCTAAAGCATTTGTAGCCTCTTTTTGTCAGGTAATGGCCAATAAAGACACTTTTTTTTTAATCTTGATTCAAGCTTACTCCTATCTTGTGAATAAATATGATAAGGTAGAGCACCCAAAATTTTTTGGGTGGAAGTTTTAATGATATGAACTGAGCATGATGATAGGCTTTGAGTAGAGTTTGTCTAGGTGTTTCAAATTGTACCCGAGTAGGTAACCTATTTATTAGGTATGCAGCAATAAGAATGGCTTCCCCCTATATATATTTTGGTACTTTTGTGAATAGCATACTAAATCTGGCAACTTCCAGAAGTTGCCTATTTTTTTCTCTCAGCTAACCTATTTTGTTGAGGCATATACACACTTGAACCCACTTGGATTGACCCTTGGCTTGATAGGTATTCTCTCATGATAGAATGAAAGTACTCTCTCTCATAGTTTGACTTTAAGATTTGATTTTTTGTATTAAACTGGTTTTGAATCATTAGTTGAATGACTTAAATATCCTTTCAATTTTAAATTTTTCCTTCATTAAATAAACCCAAGTGACTCTATTATGATTATCAACAAATATTACAAACCACCTTGCACCACTTATATTTTTAATCTTTGAGAGTCCCCAAATATCACTATGGATCAAGATAAAGGATTTAGAAGTTGGTAAGGAATAATTGGTTAAGATGATCTGATATGTTTAGCTAATTGGCAAGTTTCACATTTGAATAAACTTAGATTTTTATTAATTGACAAGTTTCACTTATGGAGACTGTTGGTTCGTGATGTTGTTAGGCAGCAACTTCAGGGTCTCTAAATGCTGAAATAGCTTCAGCTTTGATGGATTGATCTTGCATGGTATCGGCATAGTTCTCCTTGCTTTATTGTGCTGATTTGTTTGCCTTCCAATCAACTGATTTTCCACGAATCTTCCAACATGTCTCCTTTGTATGTCCAAATTTGGCACAGTGCTCACACCATGGTCTTCCTCCCTTCTTTTGATGTCAATTTTTAACATGTGAGGCTTTTTTATTGTTGTAGATAGTAAGAGCATTTCCTTCTTCAACCTTTGGAGATCCTTGTAGGCCTCCCTACATGACCTTTCTTCTGCTCTCTTCCCTTCAAACCTAAGAAAAGGCCTCCCGAATATTTGGAAGAGGTTTGGTTCCCATGATCCGTCCTCTAACGCCATACAAGTTCTTGTTCAAACCTATCAAGAATTTGAATATTCTTTCTGCCTCAACAATCTTCAGGTGAAGTGTGTGACCTTCTGGGCATTTCCATTGATAATGTTCAAACATATCTAATTGTTGCCAATAACGGGTTAGAGTATTAAAATATTGAGTTACTGTCATGTTCTTATCGGTAATCGTGAAGGATGGTCTCAATTGAGAATAGCTTGGAATTGTTGTCGGAACTGGAGTAGGTCTCTTTAACGACCTCCCATATTTCTTGGGTCGTCTCGTAAAGAAGAAAGTTCTCACCGATTTCTACATTCATGGAGTTGATGAGCCAAGACATGATCTGATGATTATCTGCTTTCCATTTCTTATAGAGAGGATCAGTTTGAGGTGGTATAGGGGCTTCAACAAGGAGATCGTCATCTTTTCCTCTCCTGCAAATAAACATTCTCACCGATTGAGATCATTGCAAAAAAAATTTCCCGTTGAATCTGTGGTTTGTGATGAGAGGAGGAGGAGAAGAGTTGTCTGCAGATCCAGAGTTTCCAGTGTTTAAACCAGTAATATTTGGATAGGAGGATGAGATCTCGCTATCTATGGACATGGTTGGGTTTCCTCATTTTAAAGAGAAGATGAATTTTGGGCAAGGGCTACCAGTGCTTGAAGAGAGGCTATCAGTAGGATGATGGAGAGTTACCGCTGGCTGAATGTTGGAAGAAAGGGAGGAAGGTTTGCCGCCAGCACTCAAAGAACGCTTAGAATTTTCCTAAGCTCTGATACCATGAAGAAATTGTTTAGGAGATATTGAATTTGAATTTTATTCTTTGGAATCATTACATATATATACATTCTAATAGAATAAATAGAAAATAAAGATATTTAATCTAATTAATTATAATAAACAATAGAGAAAAGTCATTTAATCTAATTGATTCTAATAATTATATCCCATGGATCTTGGTGTCAGAAAAGGAAATATCCAACTGCAGCCCATGAATTGCTAACCTATCCAACTGTGGACCCCCTCCTTGCGATGTGATTCAACAGTATATCAGAAGGATAGCGGCATACCAAGAAGAATAGGATTGAGGAGATAAGGTAAATGAACATCTAAATGGAAGAGAGGTAGATGGTAGGGAGAAAGAAAACAGATAAAGACCAGAAGGGAAAATTAATCCCTAGAGGGAAAGCAAAAACAAAACATTTCCTTTATTCCATTTTGTAGCTATCAGTTCCCTTTATAGAATTATGGCTCATTAAAACAACGAAAGTACCCTCAATCAAATAAAAATAAATGTCACAATAGCTCCAAATAACAACTAACATTTATACAACTAATGCTTAACCTAAATTCATACAAGGATGACCACAATGTCAATTAAATGATACTTAACACACATATATATATATATATCCATTAAATGATACTAAAAGCACAAATTCCTAACTAGATTTATAGATTTCTCTTCCCTAGATTGGTAGATGCGTTTGGCATAAGATTAGTCCAATATAAGTTTAACCTAATCCCAAAATTCAAGCACTAGTTTCGTTGGTTACAAATAATCCCAAAGTTCTGTTTGATAATTGCATAATAAATCCAAGTCTCGACCCAGCATAAACTTTAAGTTTCCCTAGATTGGTAGATATGATAGGCATAAATTTTGCTCAATTCAAGTTCAACCTAATCACACTATTCAAGCATTAGTTCACTAGGCTACAAATAATCTCAAGATTTTATTTGATAATTGCAGAATATATCCGTTTCAGCCCAGATAAAATTTTAAGTTTTTAGAAAGTTCTGCAGTTCAAATCCTTTCAGAACCACAACTAATCAACAAGACAGATCGAAAGAAAACCCAACGTTCATTGAGATGTGCCAAAATAGCGCCAATCACCAGTTCTCTTGATTTCTTATCCTTGAAATCACTATAAAAGGCGGCGGCCATAGTGACAAATAGAAAATCTATTGTAACCACAACCCCATGATCAAAACCCATAAACAAACAAAACCATAAGTAACTTGATAATAAACTCCAAATAGTAACAATAGCAGCAACAAGGTATACTACAATCCAGCATTAACTAGATAGAAAAAAAAAAAAAACTACTAAAAAATAACAGATAATAAATTAGTAATAAATAACTAACAGACTGCTAATAAATTGCTTATAAATTTAGTGACACTGACTAGAATAATAATAATAATAATAATAATTATTATTATTATTATAAAATAAAATCTAATGATAAAATAAAATTTTTAAATTTAAGTAGACGTCACAGAGCTTTTCAAGAACAATAGATTTGCCTCAATTCTTTCATAAACATGTAAACTAGCTCACCGCAAAGCCTGAAGCGTGTAGAGTTGGAGCTGCTAGGCATGGACTGACAAGATTCACAAGTTGAATCATATACCTATCGTTATATCAGAAAATATTTTATTTATTAGATGAAACACAAATAAAAAAAGGCTAAGAAGTCAACAATTAAATTCATAAAATATTGAAAATATACAAAATTCAAAAATAAATATAATTAAACTAAATCATGGGAAGACAGATTATTTAAAACAGTTCCTGAATATATTAAAACATGAGTATTGGAGTGTGAGGCCAAGATCACATAAGAAGATCTTCATGTGGCATGGACGCTTTTTCCTTATAGTAGGGTGAAGCAGAGATCTTCTTATGTGACTTGTATCATTTTTTTTTTCATTTACATACTTAGTAATTAGTTTTTGAATGTGTAATTGATATTTGGTCAATTTTACTATAATATGAATTTCTTTCTTGCAATGTGACTCATATTTGTGTAGTGGTTTTGTTTTGATTTAAAATTACTTGCATAATTTCAGTTTTGGACGATCTTTAAACTATAGCTGTGAACAAGTCTTACATGTTTCTTCTAGTTTGCATCAAATGAGAAAAAAGTTTCACTAAATAAAGCTCATGGACTGCGAATTTTGATTTATTGTATGTGTTCATGTGCATCACATCATAGTTGCATTATAGAAAACCTAGACCCTCTAAGACATACTGCATCATATTTCTTGATTATTTTGATTATGAACCTGAATCAATCAAGCCGGCTAAAATTGATAAATCAATTGAATAATTTAATAATTTAACTCATGGAGTAGTTTTTAATGAAATCACTTTACAAATCAAACTAAAGTTAGTTTATTTTCGATTCTTGGTTTCTTGATTCACAAATGCAAAAAAAAAAAAAAAAGAACTTTATGGTTATTGAGAGAGAAAAATTGCAATAGCATTTTAGAAGATTCATTGATAATGGTTACTTAACAGAAACTTTAAAACTCCATCTATCAGGGTCAATTTCACAATCTTTTCAGTCATTTGGGTTAATTTTCTCTAAAGAAATTTTTTGCCCATATAAACTTATCATAATCGCAATTTGCATTTTTAGAACACATATTAGCATTCTAGCACTTTCATTGTTTACTTCATATCATTTGTATGATTTACATGGCAACATTGGATAAAAAAATTGACAGTAAATTGTAGAAATTTTAAGTCTGCCATTAATGTGAAGATATGTGGAATTCAAATTAGATGATACAATAATTGTACATTTTAATCCTAAAAGAGTTTGTATGGTGCCTTCAAAAAATTAAATACTAAGAAGATGGGAACACAAAATCTTAGAACGCATTAGGATAAATGTTTATAAATTGGAAAGTTCAAGAAGTTCTAATATCAATGTATTAAAATGTTACCAATGCCTTGGATTTTTTTTATCTTTCTATCTCCTTATTACAAATTCACATCCAACAATATACCAAACAAAATCTACTCATATAATAATTGAAGCCATTTTAAATGATGAGACTATGTCCATTATTGATAATGGATATCAGAGCTATATCGGGATTTGGTATGACCAACCTACTTGTGATGATCTATAGGTTACTTAATAGGAGGCAAAATAGTTATGTCCAAATTTGCTTGGTAAATATAAAATAGTTAATTAAATGGAGTCTTTTTTTATATGAGGCATAAAGATGCAAACTTTGAAACCTGGAGCATGTCAAATTTAAGCCTTGGCTAAATAAAATCTTAAATTCCTCTCAAACTTGTATGCTAGTTGGACATGACTTCTTCAAATGCCATGCAAGTCATGACAACTATTTTCAAGTCAAGCTTTCTCCTTGTAACAACATGAGGCCTTCATCTTTTTTGGTGTCTATCCTAGTTCCTTTTCATCTACACTGTGATTAGTTTTTGCGTGTATGATTAAGATTTGATCAATTTTGCTACAAACCTTCTTACGGTGTGAATCCCATTTGTGAAGTGGACTTATTTTAATTTCAGATTTCTTGCATAATTTCAGTTTTGGATGATCTTTAATTATTTTTTAGAGTGGGTTTTACATGTTATCTGACTAATAACAAAAAATAGAAAGTTTTTGATGTGGAACGTACATGCGATGATGGAGTTACTTTAGGAAATTATAGGGAGCGATTTGAACAAAGTAATCCAAATTAAAATTATCGTTTATAATGGACTGCAAAGGTTGATCTTTCATGCATTCTCATGTGCATCTCATTCAATATTTGCATTAGAGAAAACTTCGACACAAGTTGTCTTTCCGAAGGGGGTGGGGGAGCATCAGCAAGGTTGGGAATCAACAGCATAGAGAATTTTCAGACCACACGGAACATGTAAGGCCAACTTGTAGCATCAATAGAGCTACTCACAAATATAATGGAAAGAAAAGCAATACGAAATAGCACAAAGTATATCCAATATAGCGGCTTTTGGTAACAACTCGGAAATTATATACACAATCATCACTAAGGAGATATTTATTTGAGTTGTTGCCATAACAAATTGGTGTTTCTCCTGCCTTATCCCTATGGAGTCCAATGTCTTCCAATCTGCTTATTCTTTTTTATTTATTTTAGTCATCTTACTCGTTCATAAATGTTTATCAAAACATAAAAATGAGAGTAATACTCAAAAAAATTTTAGAGGAGATGGAGGTGGTTTACGGATTTTAAGTAAACCTCAATGGCGGCAACGAAGAAGTCAGTGGGTTGGAGGTCGAGGCAATCAAGAGGAAGTTTCTACCACTCGGGATTATGAAAACATGATTTGTTCAGGGCTTTTGTTTAGAATTTAGATAAATTTTAATTTAAAATTATATAAATAGGGTGAGGCATATGTCTCACGCCAGCGAGGTGAGGCACACCTTAAGGTGGGCCTCAGCCAAGCCTTGAGATGTTTTTCACTGAAATTGCATGGAGTCGGGCCTTAATACAAGCCTAATATTGTGGAATTTAAAACAATGATATATATATATATATATATATATATAGTCTTTATCCTCACAAAACTTCCATCATTCAATTAAATTTTTGAATGGTTGAGATTTAAAATAGTTATAAATAATTGTTATTATAAAAACAAATCACAACTGATATTTTAACTAACCATTTCAAATTGAATGCATGCAGAAGGATGTGTAAGAATATAATATATATATATAATATATATTATATATATATATATATATATTATATATAGAGAAGAGAGAGAGAGAGAGAGAGAGATGATAGCATGTGGGGGTGATCCAAGAAAGAGAGGGATTAGGTCAATTTTAACTAAGAACAAATATGAGAGAGAGGTTGCTCAAGAGGGAAGGTAGGGTAGTTTTTTTCAAAGATAGCACAATTAGATTCGAGACTCAAAATATGCCAGTTAAAAAAGCTCCCTAACTTGTGTTAATAGCCACAAAAAGATCCCTAACCTAATGCCTGTAATTATAGCACGTAGTTTCCTGACTGTGTTCAGAATAATTGTAAATTTTATTAAAGAAAGGTTCAATATGCCTTCTGAAAATTTTAGGAGCTTTTTCAGAGCCTAAAATCCTCTATTAAAATGATCCTCTCTCGCATCCACAATTCTGAGAGACTATTAACCACCCCTTCACCTGGATCTCTCCTTGTCTTGCTTCCTCCCTCCATCTCGCACAAGAATTCATATACAGTATATAACTGTATCAACTAATAGTCCCAAAAACAGTATTTAGCATACCCTTAATATTTCTAGAGCTAGCTCATTCTCTAGGTTTTTCTTTATTTTATGGTTCTATTTCGTGCACACTTAGGGTAACTCCATGTCATATTTCAAAAGTTGATGCCAAATGTATTTAGTGGGGAAAAAAAATTCAAAACTAACTTTATCTAAAATAAAAGGTGCTATTCAAATACAAAAGTCTTACAGTTGTCATTTCATTAAAAAAAAATAGGAAAGTATTAGCACCTCTGGCAGAGTTATCTTAGAATGAAAGAGCATAAAAGATTTTGAAAACTAGGATAATAAAATTGTACAAAAATCAAGAAATACAACTAACATTTCAAAAGAAAATTTTCAAACGAGAAGAAATTACCCTAATGATGCAGAAAGCTCATCAGGGGGAACTGAATGGATCAAGTCCTCTAGGCAAACGAAGCACCAACTATTGTATCATATGAACCACCTGAACCCACCTTTTTCTGGTATCAGAGTTTTTCTGGAAATGAAAACATTAGATCAAAACAACCATTGTAAGCTCCACTCATTACGAAAATGGTAAGCCATAACTAAATCACAACCAAACACCAACAACATCAAGCCTTTAACTACGTGGGGTCGGCTTACATGAATCCTTTTTCTCCATTGTTCTCATTAAAAGTCAAATTCTCGTTAAATCTTAAAAGAAAGGTCATTCCTATATTTTCTAACAAGTCTTTTTAGGTCTACCCCTACTTCTTAACATAAGTCAAATCTAATACCTCTCTCTCCTAACGGTCATCGCAAGGCCGCCGTTTTATGTGACCAAACATCTAAGGTGACTTTCTCTAAATCTTATTTTCTACTGGAGCTACTCCAACCTTTTCACTATATGCTCATTTCGTATCCTTATCTCTAAGGGTAAAGCCACTCACACCTGAGCATCCTCACTCTGCCACACTTAACTTAGTATTATGCTTCTCTTTTTAAGGCAACATTCGGCACCATAAATGCATTGCAGGCCTCACTACCATCTTATAGAATTTCCCTTAAGTTTGAGGGGTACATTTCTATCACATAACAAGCCGATGCATTCCTCACTTCAACCATCCAACTTGAATTCTGTTGAATATATCCCCATCTATTTCACCATCACTTGAACAATAGATCCAAGATATCTAAAATTGTGTACTCTTATAATGACTTGATCGTCCAAAGTCACAATCCCCTTACTAGGTCTATTACTACTAAAATTACACTCCATATATTCCGTTTAGATCTACTCAAGCGAAAACCTTAGACTCTAAGGTTGACCTCCATAATTCAAGTTTACCTTCAACTCCCTCTCTAGTCTTATCAACAAGAAGAATATCACAGCAAAAAGCAACACCAAGGTACATCCTCTTGCAGTTAGTGAGAAAATCCATGACTAAAGCAAAAAGATAAGGGTTAAGGCTGATCCTTGATGTAACCCAACCGAAATAGGAAATACTTTGGTCAATCCCCTTGTGTTTGAACACAAGTAATAGCTCCTGCATACATATCTTTAATGATTTGAATATAAGCATTATTGACTCCTTTCTTTTCATCCATAGCACTTCTCTTGGAACTTTATCATATGTTTTTTCTAAATCAATAAATAACATATGTAGATCCTCCTTATTTTCTCTATATTTCTCCATCAAACCTCTTAATAAATGTATGGCTTCCATAGTCGACCTACCGACATGAATCCAAATTGATTTTGAGAAACATTAGTATCACGCCGCAACCTATGCTCCATAACTCGCTCCCATAGTTTTAAAGTATGACACATAAATAATACCTCTTAATCGCACAACTTGTGCATCACCTTTATTCTTAAAAATAGGAATAACACAACTCATTCTCCACTCATCTGGCATCTTCTTAGTCTTCAAAATAGTATTAAAAAGTTTAGTAAGCCATGAAATTCCTTCATCTCCTAAGCATTTCACACATCTATTGGAATATCATCAGGTCCAATAGCTTTTCCACCCTTCATTTTCTTTAAAGCCTCTCTAACTTCAGTTTTTACTAATACGCCGATAAAAACAAAAATCTTTTTTCATCTAGGGTGCTAAGGTCACTATAGTCAATCTTATTTTCACAATCTTCATTAAAAAGTTTAGCAAAATATCTCATCCATCTTTGGTTGAATATCATCTTCTAAGAAAAGTATTTTTGATCTTCATCTTTAATACACTTCACATTGAACTAAATCCTTACACTCATATCTCTTTTGTTGGCTAACTTATACATATATCTTCTCCCTCTTAGTATCTAATCATATTATATAATCACTAAAAGCTAATGTCTTTGCATCGCATATTGCTTTCTTAGCATCCTTACGAGTCACTTTATATTTCCCAATTATCAGAATTTTTAAAATTAAACAATTTTTATAACAAAGCTTCTTATTTTTAATTTTTTCTTGCACATTAGGATTCCACCACCAACTATTTTTACTATTGGGGAGCTTTTCCTTTGATACTCCAAGGACATCTTTTTGCATATTCTTAATATCACTAGCCACTTTTTCCCACATAATATTAGCATCCTCATGCGCAGACAAAATCTTAAGATCTAAAATCTTATTTCAAAAATATTTTTGTTAATATTCTTTAAATGCCCCATTTAATCCTAGAAATTGTTTTACTTTATTTTTTATTTTATGCCCCTTTATCTTAAAGTCCAAAACTAATAATCGATGTTGGGTACATAAATTTTCACTCGGAATAACTTTACAATCTTTGCAATCTAAACATTTAATTTTCTAATAAGAAAATAGTCAATCTGGTTGTATTTATCCATTTTTATAAGTGATGGATGCTATTTCTTTTCTTAAAAAGGTATTAGCAATTAAAAAATCATAAGCAAAACAAAATCCAATATGTCTTGCCACCTTCATTCGTCGTTCCAAATCCATGGCCAACATGAATGCTTTTAAAATCATTTACCTCTCTACCAACATGTCCATTTAAATCTCCTCAAATAAAACTCTTTCTTCAAGAGGTATATTTTGTATTAAATCTTCTAAGTCATTCCAAAAATTTAATTTAGAACTCATATCCAAACCTACTTGAGGAGCATAAGCACTTATAATATTAAACATCTTATCATCAACAACAATCTTTAAAAGCCTATAATTCTATTCCAATCCTATTAATTTTTATAACATATCCTTTAACTCTTATCTATAATAACACCTACTACCATTCTAGTATACGACTCCTACCCGAATACCAAAGTTTAAATCCTAAACTATCAATTTCCTTTGCCTTATCTCCAACCCATTTAGTTTCCTGAATGCACAAAATATTTAACTTCCTATGAATCATAATATCTATTAATTCCATTAATTTTCCTGTAAGGGAACCTATATTCCAAGTTCCTATCCTAATTTTAGTTTCATGGACTAGCTTCTTTGCCCACATCCGTCCTTGATGTGGGAACCCTTGCCTATTTAACACTGCACCCGGGCGCCGGTGCAGCGGCCCTTGCACACTTGTCACTGTATTCAGGTCATACAGCGCGTCGCTTCCAGGGGACGCCCTAGCATTAACACAATTTCTTAAAGGATTCATGAAAATTTATGTATGCAGGAGCTATTTTATCTATAAAAACCTAACTTCCAACTTTCTCAAGAACATAATTAAAATTTAGGCTTCATTTGGGACGATTTTCTTTCTGCTTCTTAAAACAGCTTTCTAGTATAAAAATTTTAATTTTTATACTAAAAAGCTGTTTTATGAAGCAGTAAGAAAGCCATCATAAACGAAGTCTTAGTCTATACCAACATTCATAGTACGTTATGTGATGACTTCCTCAAATGCATTTGGTGTAGCATGAAATAAAAAGATTAGACATAGACCAACTATAATTTCTTTTCTTTTTAAGATATTAAGTCGTTGTTTGGTTTAGTGATATTCAGATTTGCTAATAAGATGCCATTGTTATCTCAAAAAGTTTATGTATTTGGGTCAATGTTATTTTGTTAAAAAATGTTTTGTCAACTAAATCTTAATTGTTTTGTCCAATATTATCTCTATATTCCATTATATAAATGATTAGCTCCACCCTAAACCAACAACAATAAGAACATTGACCAAGGCAAAACAATCAAGAAAATGTGTGAAAATTTTCAATTCAACTAGCTATTTACGACAATAAATTCAATATTAAAAATCCTTTTATACCTCTAGGCAAAACAATCATTAGTGAGGCTCGAATTTGATCACAAGTAGCATATATCATAGCATGGTTTCTTTGTTACTCTAACCAGTGCAAGTAACGCAAAACAGTAATAAAAATATACGACCAGCAAAACCCTTAATATAAGGGTGAAAGTCAAGTTGTTTAAATGGCGAGTAAAGAAAGAAGACAACAAGATTTCACTAGATTGAGGGGGAATAAGAATGGCAACAAAAAGAAGTCACGACATGTCCATGTCATTTAATTTGAAAATAGTCATTATTATACTGTTATAAACATCTCATAATAATATGACATAATACTGCAAATGTCACGATACAAAACAACCTTAAAGACCATTTAAATAAAATGAATCAGAACAGGATGCTAGCATAAACGGATAAAGTACGTTTATGACAAACTCTAATGTAACGCAATTTGATAGAATCCATTTGACTGACAAGTCAAAGAGAACAAACCTCTAATTTTAGCCAAAGGGAAAGAAAGTAAATGCAGTTTATTTAATCCGTTCATCACAAAAACAATTTTTAGAAAACTATCCCACTTCTTTTTTAAATTAAGATAATAAGTTAAAAACCTGAGGAATAAACAAGAGAAAAGATAATCTGTTGCTGTAAAACTTTTTTTTTTTTTGTGGGGGAGGGGCGGGGGCTTGATTATTGTGCCATATAGTTTTCTTATAAAGTGTATAAATGTGATTAAGAAGAATAGTGAAAGCATAGATGTGGAAAGAAACTTGACCAATATTGTATTAATAAGCAAAATTATTTTTTGATAGATCTCTAACATGTTGCTTGTAAGTGTGAAACGATATTCAAAAGAACTTTCAATATTTGGATGGTTTCGTTGATATTCTTTAAGACAAAGATGTCAAACACAATTTGAAGGAGAAGCCAAAATATTATTATCATATATCCCGACTGTTCAAGCAGCTCAAATTCATTTACAGGATTCTTGTAAAATAGGCTTCAAAGTTTTGACACTATCAAGTCTACCAAAATAAATTTCCAAAAAACCATAAACAAAATTAAAAAATGCTCAAACAAATATCAACACTGCAGTTCGGTGGCACAATTGAGGCAGGTTTTCCATCAACATATGGAAAGGATTATAAGAAAAACAGCTAACTATTTATGTCCCTCGCCTAAAAATCTCTTCAACATAGAAATTATGTTGTAAGTTAGCATGAAAGGCTAATGTCCAATCTCATTGCTACATGAAAAAAAAAAGGAAAAAAACTGGAAATTGAATTTCTCTGAAGTTTCATACAGCTAAATATACCTATGTTCAAAATGAGTTTTTATTTTCAATGAAATTTAACAATTTAACAAGCATCAGATAATCAAGCAACAAAAATGCAACAATTTGCAAGACAATCTATTAGTCTTAAATAATTAATAAAAAATACGATCAAAATCAAATCAAATCCAAAAGCCTTATGCTAGAAATTAAAGATCAAGAAAGCATGCACGGTGTGAAATTCATGCACAATGTAAACCATATTATATCAAATTTGACTAACACAACACTCTACCAATATGAAAAAAAAAAAACTAAAAAAGAAAAAAAAAAAACAAGAGGAAAAATAAGGTAGGAAAATAATTCACCAAAAAGCAAACCTCAAACATGCAAAGGAATATAATGTCTATAGGAAATTTTCAAGTTTATCACGTAATCGACAAATTTAATCCTGAAAGTAGAATTGCCGCACGAACAAATAACAAATTATTCAACCACAAATTCAGCTTTTGTGTTTGACATTGAATACTATTTATAATCACAAAGCCATTTAGAAATTTCCTAGCTCAATCATAGATAACAATGGAATCAAAACTAAAAACAAAATTCCATTGGAGCAGAGGTCGCAATACCTAGTTAGAGCCGAAATAAATAAATTAAAAAAAAAATTAAAGAAGAAATAGGGAAAAAAATATAAGAGCCGCAGAACCCAATTAAAATAAAGAATCACAAAAGAGCAGTAGGATTCAACTAGAAAGAATTGTGCAAAAACAAATGACAACAGAAAGATGTTGAGACATCAAAGCAAGAAATCAAGGGTCTGTTTGGAACTGTTACAATATTTTTTAAAGATGATTTTGAAGTAAACGTGGTGAAAGTAACTTTTTTTTAAAGTTGTTGTGGATATGAAAAATATATTCTATTTTAAAAAATCAAACAACTTCTTTCTTAAGGTGACATGAATACATAGGTGATATAACTGTGCTATGGATGTTGTCTCGTTCAAGAAAGATGATCGAGATGGTGTCTTGCTTGAATAGGTGGAAAGCTTCGATAGAGACAATATAGAGATATGTGTGATTTCCTCTTAATTTTATCAAAAATATGAGTTAAAGAAAAGGACGAGATGTTAGCCAAATCAGATGTTAAATATGGATAAATATAGCCAAGTCCAATGTCAAATGTGAATAAGCCTCAACCAATTACAGGTGTAGTAGAGATGTTGGAGTTAATATTTCCCCTATATTTTCTAACTTAAAAATCAGTTGGAAGACAATAGCACTCTCAAATCAATGTGCCCATTTCAAGGAGATCGTGATTTTAGAATTGAATTGAAATCCCAAAATTGAATGAATAAAAATTTATAATTTATAGGGTATTATCTTGGCTCGAATGAATTTTTGACATTTAAATTCTGAATGATTGGATCAGACATGTTTGATTTGAGGTCTAAGATGTTCAACAAAGATGTAGAAGTGAAAATTCTGAATTTAGCACTATTTGTCTTAGTTCCCTTAACAAATGATGATCCTGATTCAAACCGAAATAAATATGGGAAAATTTTTTATATGTAGCTTTTTACCTTTTTGTGGAGCAATAAAAGAAGTGTGTTTGCCACTTTGCCCTCATTTTTAAGCTTTAGGTTATGTATGATCAAGCAATTCCATGTATTGTTTGAATGGAATTAGCATCAAATGCCACTCGGAATTTGGTGTTATGACCCTGTATCAAACCGAAATAAACATTATCACTTTGTTAGCACTCTTCTAACAAGAATCTTATTGAAGAAGTGGAATCTCACTGTTGAGATCTGTGTTGACTAGTTGCACTTGGATTGATCATGAGTAATGCCTATGTTGTGAGCATTCTTATTTGGTTTGTTAGGCTTTAATATTGTAAAATTGCAATCATTAATATATAATTCATTTTAAATGTTCTGAATGTTTTTTCTTCTTTTTTTATAGGCGATTTGCATGAATGAATGATTGGTTTCAGAAGTAAATAACAAGAAAGCCAGTGGCCTTTTACTAGAAATTAATGATTAAAAATATAGGATCAAGAAAGTCGCACATGTATTTTGAAATTCATGCACTTGATTTAAACGAACTAGATCAAATTTGATCAAACACAATCATTCTTTCAAACCAGCTATAAAAAATGCATAGGCGAAGAAAGAAGAAGTGGAAAAGAATTCACCAAAAAGAAAGCCTTGAGCGTATGCCGTATACAATGAGACAATCTCTCTAGGAATTCATCAAGTCTCTCACTTGGCTAACTAGTTGAATCCCAAAAGTAGAAATAATGACACATCCAAATAGAACTTTTATTCACCCACCAATTGAATGTTTGTGCAAGCTCCAAGACCTTATTTATACTGACAAAACTAATTAGAAATTTTCCTTGATCAACTATGGATAGCATAGCAATGGAGTAGCACTAAAAACCAAAAAGTTGTTAAGAAGCTATAAGAGAAACAAAAGAGTCGCAAAACATAATAGCCGTCAGACCCATGGAGAAAATTAGCAGTACCCAATTACAAAAAGAAGTTATAAATAGACAACGACAATAGAAAATCATAGAAGCAAGAAGCTACAAGGTCCATTCGTAGGAAGAAGCCTCCATAGCCATAGGGAAGTCACAAGCTCCGTAACAAGAAGTCAAGTGCCTGATGCATTAAATAGCTTATATAGAGATATTATTAAACATGAACTACAAAATTAGTCAAAATCACTTGCATTATAGGGTTATCTTGCATATTTAATGTGAATATATGAAACATACTTCGTAACTTTATTACTATATATGAATAATAAAAAATTTAACAAAATAACAAAATTTTGGCAAAGCAAATATTGTCCATACAATCACTTAATGCTTCATCAATCTTCGTTAATTATGTGGAAGCTAGCAACAAAAACATAAGATAAAAAATATAGATCAAAGCTCCATGTAGCTTACCCATCCCATTGGAAAAAGTTTACATATCAGTTTCACAACCACAGCTTGTTTGTGCATGAGTTCAGAGCTGATTGCCATCTACAACAAGCATTTTTGTACAATATTAGAGGAGGAACAAAAAAATACAAGAAAAGATAATAGACAATATAAAGAGTTACGAAAAGAAAAAAGCAGATGTTTTTAGGGTGAAAAGTTTATTTGCACTCTAACAAGATCAGAAAATGACGTTCAAAGAATAAGGCTTAATCTCAATATGTTTACCTAAGATAATAAGTAATCCATTTTTGAATTGTGAAAACTAACTCATGCAATATATCATCTAAAAAAAGAATAATATATAATTTTCCTTCTTAATATTACATCATTACTTCATGAATTTGTACTCATTTTTTGATAAAACAATGGGCATAAATTTTGATATTTATCAATTCTACTAAGAAACTTCTGGCCATCATCTCTTTGGATAAGACGGTGTATGTATGCAGGCACACCGATAGAAAGAGAATGTATTGAACTATTTTTTAAACCAAGTCACTACAAGTATAAGTTCCTCTAACTCATGGATTTGATGAGACTAGAGGATAACCAAGACAAAAATAATCACTACGAAAACATTTCTACGTGATTTCAAGGCTTATCACCTTAAAAACTGTGGAAAAAAGGTTAAAAATATAACTCTTTGAGCTGTCTTATTCATAGCAACAATTAAAAAGTAAGCTAAGCAGCATATATGATCCCAAAGCAAGCTAGCCATAGAAATTGGATATACCAAATATGAGAACCCATCAATATTTGATAGCCCGACAAACTTTTGAACATATCTATAAATAGTTCACAAAATAGAGTTTACACTAGATACAGCAATCATCAGGAATGACTAAAGGAGGATTCATAAAGCCAGCGCCAAATGGATAAGATATGGTCATGATGATGAAAAAAAATCTAGAATTTACAAAATAACAAACTGGGATCACTCACAAGCCTGAATTCATGAGTGCACTTGAGACTGTGATATTTGCTCTCGAGCTTCGTGCGACTTTCTTTTAACTGGGATAATCAACATCAGATCAAGTACATATTTGATGAGAACAAGCAAATTCCAGAGGTAGTCTTAGAGGTACATAAAAGTCAGTACAAATGGAAAAACACATACCGTTGAGAGAGCAGACTCCACGAACTCAGTTTTACTCTTTAATTCTTCTGATTCTTTGGCAACCATTGCTTTTTCTGATAAGACGCCAAAATATTCAAAAGAATTCAGACAATGAAAACAACAATGAGATAGTTCGTCAAATACATTACCTATAAAAAGACCAACCTTGCGAGAGTTGCTTCTGCATGTTGTGCAACCGCTCCTTCAACTTTCTTATTCTTTCCTTTTGCGCGAGTCTCCAACTCAGTTGTTCGTCCATTTTTCTCTGGTCACCAAAAGGATATTATAGACGGATATGGTGGCACGCAATATAACGAGCCATTTAACAAGAATTAGGAAATCAATGTAACCAAAAACTAACCTTGGCCTCCAGCGTCCTCTCCAGCCTCGCGTAGAGAGATTTCCGCTTGCTGTGCAGAGATCTTAACGAAGCGTAGCATTCGTTCAATCTTCATGAAAGCCGAAGGGAACCAAAGCATTAAATTACACCGAAGCATCGAAGGAAAGAAAAAGAGAAAAGGATGGATCGAGATGTAGCGATTGATTCACCTGTAATTAACGCAACCAGCGCAGAAAGAGGGGAGATTTGAGTTCTCACAAATGGCGCAGCTGCTGTGCTTCTTGGCCATCATCCCGGCCGAATCCAATTCAGAGAGATCAAGGAGGAGATAATTATAGCTTTCAGTTGATCAATTAGAAAGGATTGAGATTCCGAATCAATCAAATCTTGAAAGGTAGTTCACGAAGAAAGGATCTGGGGTTGGTATTCCGTCCAAGATTTCTCTGAGGAACGGAGAAGGGTTTCTTCGAGCGGAGAGCAACGACCGATTCGCTGCGCCGGAGCCGATCAGGTGGCTCGTGTGCGCAGGTGCTTAGGGCCGACACAGGTTATGACCCGCTTTAATTAATTTAAATAAGGTTGAGTTCTGATATGGATGGTCCATAACCTGCTTTGTTTACGTTCAATCAATTATTTTGTCTTATTTAATCACAGTACATTCACCCACATCAACTATCTAACCGCCATGTGGCGTTTTTTGAGACGTGGCGGCCGGTGACGAGATGGTGTACAGAACGAAGACGAATTGATGATAAAATTTTGGTTTGACGATGGCGATGCTACAAGAAAAGAAAATAGCAAGAGCTGTGATCGAGTGGTTGAAAAGGTCTAAGATACCATAAATTATTCTGATTTATTCTGACCGGATGGTCTCGAGATCAATCAGAATGTGTCATATCATTTGATATTGAGCGGTGCTTAGCAATTGTAACGAGCAAAAAAAGTACGTGACGCATTAGATACATGAGAAGGTTAGGGGCTCACATCATAAAATTTTCATGCATTTTATGTTATAATTTTATTCCTATTGGGTCTTTTTTATTCTTATTGGATATTGCTATATAAATTATTCATTTTTAGGGTTATTATTTGCTATGTTTATGTATTTCAAAGAGTATGATAAATATATGACATAAATTTTATAAAATTATAAAATTAACATATTAAGAAAATGAAAAATGATTGCTATACAAGTTATACTATTGATAAAAGAAAATTGTATTGATGCATTTGATGATCATTATTTTGACTTATTATAACTGTTGTATTAATATTTAGCCTGATAATAAATAAGTCAAATAAAATATTTCTCTAATTTGTTAAGAAAATTATTTTTAAGATTTTGAAGGATTGAGGATAAACAAATATCTAGCACACAGATATGACAAAATAAAATTACAAGGGACATTAATATTTTTTACATGAAAATTTAGGAAAAGAAAAAAAATTATGAAGCCTAGCCAAGTTGAAATTAATGATTCAACTTATGCATGTTGGTATGTTAGAAATGATAATTTTCCCTTCAAATTGACTATTGATACAATGTAATAAACATGAACTATTAATGATAAATTTTGGTTTCGTCTGAGATGACTTTCTTATTGCTTCTTAAAGCTGCTTTCAAGTACAAAAATTTTGTAAGAAAGTCATCCCAAACGAATTTGTTTTGATGAAAGTTGGAAGAGTATTGAAGCAATAAAAATTTCTTCATGTGACCGTTTGTGGCTTTTTTAATCATTCTCATTTGAGGAGAGAAGATCAAAGACCAAAAACTTAAATATAATATTTGCATTAACATCGAAAATTAGATAGATTTCGTGTCGATAGTTGTGAACATTCAAATTTCTAAAAATAATTGAAAATGGAAAAAAATTGAATTTCTATTATAACTGGAGCTCTGTTGTGTTAGGCCTAGAGCACATTATTTTTTCCGGTACTTTTAAACAATTATAATTTTTTTCTTCAATGAAGGAGGAGTGAGAAAAGGAAATATGTATTTTTTTTATCTTCGGATTGCTTTGCCGCTTTTACAAAAAAAAAAAAAAAACAAACAAAGTGGGTGATTATAATTCTATCTTTATTTCAAAGATTTTGATTTTGATCGTTAACTTATCCTCAAAATTTATTTTACTATATTTTTTCGATTTATTAAATTTTACCACACAACTTAATTTTTGTATGTTATCGTACTGATTACCAAGACTTCTTGTTTGTTTAATTGTGACCACCGAAATATATGTTACATATTCATTATTATTGTACGACTTTATTGATATTATATTTATTTATTTTCACTATTTTTTTTACTATATTGCTTTATTATTATTGCCACCAATTTAATTGATGACATTATATTGATACTACTACATATATGGATATCGATACTGTTGATTCACTATTATTATTACTGTTATTGATTCGTTGTATAAATATCGAGCATGTGATATGATATACTAAGCAGCATATGATTAAGTTTCTGATTTAATATTGATATAGAATAATTGAAAATTATGTGTACATTATTATAGAGTTTTACTGCATTAATATGATTCCGTAAGTCTTTGTTGAAGCTTTGATTTTACTTCTTTGTAAGATTTTTTTACTAATTAATAGTATTTACATAATGACTATTTTATTGATTTGACATATGTACTGATTTACTAATTTTCTCACTGTACTATTTAATTGGCTTCCATATCATACAATTTTATTATTTATTGATTCTACTACTACTGCATGTGAGTTTTATTGTTTATGCACTGATTCTTGATCATATAAGTGTTACTCTTATGAATTGATTAATGACATGTATACTACTTCGTTACCCTATTTTGAATTTAGTTATAGGATTTAAATAACAAATTGGAATTTTTAACTCATTATATGTAGTTTAAATGGTTTTAGATCTAGAAAAAGATTCGGAGTATGAGACTGATCAAGATTCCTCAGGTTCTACTTCCTTTTGTTTTAGTTATTCTTTTTTGTACTCAAGAATGAAAGGATATGTTGTGATTATATGATTCATGAGTATTGTATATGATTTATTTTTAGGTCAATGAATATAGATGTTTATTAATGTTTTGAATTATATAATTTTTTTTGTTTATTACTTATAGATGAAAATAAATAGCTCTAACTGTTGTATAATAAAATATAAAAGAAAGAATTCTTTTAAATTATATTATGGGGCATGACATTAGTGTACATCGATCTTATTGGTGATGATGTGAATAGAGATTGTGAGCAACTATTGGCTCTAAAATTGATGGGCATTGTCCTTGGTATTATCGATATGCCATTAACCATATAATCAATAGCATGCATTGATGCATGCATCGGCCATATAAGTGATGGCGTGCATCACTCTTATAGGTGATGAAATATATCAATATTATTAAAAATGATAGGAAACAAATTCGATAAATGTAGGTAATGTTAAGTGACAAGGGTCGAGAGATTGTAGTAGGGTTACAATAGCCAAATAATAGTAGCCGAGAGAATATAGTTAAGCCATTATATTTTGTTGGCATTTATTAGAAAACTATAATTGCGACACAATAGATGGGTGATGCCATATAGGCCACAACAGGTGGATGACAGTCATGGATGGAGATGATATCTTTGGCATCAAATGCATAGTAAATTTCTAAAAATCTTCATATCTCCAAACTCTCTATAATCCTCAATTAAAATATCTTTCATGCAAATAATGGAGTTGTACTTATATTTTTTTAGAGTGATATTTTCATAAATCTTGCTAAAATACTAAATCACTCCTTTAGGTGACCAATGTTGAGTTATTTGAAGATCGAGCATTCTTTTAATATTTAAATGTCATAATAAAAATAATTTAGTGATTTTGGGTTCATTGGATTCCGCACATCAGGACATTTAATTTTACGATAAGTATATAATATTTAAAAATTATTTGATCATTTAATTAATATTATTAAATTTTTAGTTATGTTTCAAGTACTTAATTAATTAGGCTCATTTATACTCATATCATATCAATTTTGATATTATTAGGTTTATCTCGTTGAAATGTTCAGTTCGAACATAATTTGCTATAACAGAGTTCGATGATCTTAAATTTAATTATAAAAAATTTCTATTCAAAGAATACATCAAAATTCTTGCTTATTTAGATGAATTTTGTTGTGATATATCATTTGCCTCTTATTTTTTGACATCATATCAATTGACTCCAAATATAATACCATTCAACTAAAAATAATATGAGCTATACAAATTTAATTGCATATAGCACCATGATACTTCTAATTATTGTTTTTAACAATATTATATCACCTCATGATTAACCATCATAATGAAGGTTGATTGTAATTCTTATCTTTAAATTTATAATTTTATTCTTCAAAAGTTTATAACTCTTCATAATAAAAATTTAGTCTAACTCCCATATTTAAATTTTGTAACTTCTTCAATATTTATAACTCTTCATAAAGATACTTAAGGTGCAACTCTGATCTTTAAATTTTATAAACTTTTAGGCTTCGTTTGAAACAACTTTAATGCTTTCTACATCATCTTTAAAGTACTAAAATATCTTAAAAAATGTGAAAAAATAGTTGACAAAAGTTGTCTCAAACGAAGCCTAAGACTTAATTATTTATATTTGTCACCATTAACGATTAATTCACCATTAGGATTTGTTCTTCCTTTTGGCTTATTATGTGGATTTCTATGATTTCAGATCAAGGAATAGGGTCGGGACCATGTGGAGTGAGATTGACATAGATCTTCAGGTTTTCTTTTGATTTTATTTATACTTTTCTTTATTCTTTTGTAATCAGGATTCTGTGATAGAATAGTAATTGTATTGATCTTTTGACTATTGTATATTGATTTTGAGAGAATGAATATAGTGCAATATTTTTTTACATATGCTAGTTGTTTTCGCTAGATATATATTTATTATTTTGGTGATTTATAGAAGCTCTAGTTGATTAATTAAGAAGAAAAAATAGGTAATTCTTTCAAATTTGATTCTGGGACGTTATAGTCAGACCACAGCCTGATTGCCCCCAACATACCATAGTCTGATCACCGACACCAAATCACTTTGTTTGAACCGCCACTACCTGAGCATTAGACCTGTCAATATTGGACCCGACCCGAAAACCCGACCCGAACCCGACCCGAAAATTTCGGGTTCGGGTCAACCCGAACCCAAACCGGGTCGGGTTCGGGTTAGAGATTTCGACCCGTTTGTAAAACCGGGTCGGGTTCGGGTTGACCCGGAAACCCGAAATCGACCCGGTTTGACCCGTTTTTAATTAATTTTGGAGGATTTTAATGAATTTTTATGAAATAAGTAAATAATATTTCAAAAAATTATAAATATTATTGCTCAAATTAAATTAATCTTGATTTATTTTAAATTAATTGAAGTAAATCTATCCTTAATTTGATTTAAATTTAAATAAAATGAATTAAATAAAAAAATTTTAATTAAATATACCCGAAGCGGGTCGGGTCGGGTTGACCCGGACCCGAAGCGGGTCGGGTTCGGGTTCGGAAAACCAACCCGTTTGCAA